AGCGAGAATCGTTTCCCGGGATTTCCCGGGCATCCTGTCTGTAACAAAAATACGCGGAGGGTGCGCGGACATCGCCCGGACGCCATCAGGGGAAGAAAATGGCGCCGGCGCCTCAGCGAGAGTCGTTTCCCGGGATTTCCCGGGCGTCCTGTGCGTAAAAAGCAATACGCGGAGGGCGCGCGGCCATCGCCCGGGCGCCATCAGGAGAAGAGGGAGAGTATATTCATATTGAATAATTGTGGAGGAGGAGGCATGTTTTAACATGCCATGCCAGCCCGCACTGGACGGGCGCGCAATCGACCTTGGAAACCGCAGTGGGTCTAAAAACCCTGTTTGGGGATACTGCACTCTGGCTATAATTTCATGATTTGTTTTGCTGGCGTTGTATAGATGTATACGTTTTGTTTGGCCGTGGGGCGGCGGAGCTGAGGACGGGCGTTCGGTTCCCTGGGACTGGAGTTCCGGGTTCGCCAAGCAACGGTCGCCTGAACGAGTGCAGGACCGAGCGTCCGGGGCGACGCCGCGTGTGCTGCGGGACGCGGGGGGCGGCTTACGTGATGGGCATGGTTTGCGGCAGCTGGTCGCCATCACGTGCCACCGCACCCCGCGGATGCCGCAGCCGTTCCACGCGGCGCTGGTGGAGCGGTGGGCGCGCCGCAGCGCTGGCAGCAGCCACGGCGCGAGCGTCTGGACGACTGCTGGCGCCTCGCTGCAGTGGGTGGCGTTCGACGAGGTCATGCGGGCGTCGCCCGCGTGGTCCCTCAGTGGAGGCCGCGCGACTGCGCTCAACCCGCCTGGCTATAGCTAGCGAGTGAAAAAAATGAGTCTGCTTGCGCGCGGCGGCTGCAGCCGCGCCCAACAACTCGAGCTGCAGCTCCATGCTGCGAGGGGCTGCAGCTGCAGCGGCGGCCCCTCCTCCTCCTTATGCGCATCCCGTCCCCTCCTCCTCGCCCCGTCCTCCCTCCATCATCGCGATGGCGTTGATATCGTTCAACATACGCTAACGTACTTTAAGTTCTTTTAACTTACTTTAACATACTTTAGCTAACCACTCAACTTGAGCTAGCTTTCGCTAACTTTCCTTAACATGGTTTAACATAGTTTAACACGGTTTAGCATGACTTATATAGTTTTGCATACACCTACATAACACCTTAGCTGCCGTTCGCTTCCCTACCCCACAGCTAAGTGAGGTTAAGCCTTAGCTAAATCAAGTTAAACCAACTTAAACCATCTTAAAGCTTAGCTAAACCAACTTAAACCATGTTAAGTCTTATAACCCTTAGCTAAGACAAGATGCATCCAAGCACCCTCCCGGGCCACCCTCCCGGGCCCACCCTCCCAGGCCATACCCTCCCGGGCCACCCTCCCAGGCCCACCCTCCCGGGCCCCAGCCCACCCTCGGGGACCCTCACGGGCCACCCTCCAGGGCCACCCTCCCGGGCCACCCTCCCGGGCCAGCCTCCCGAGCCACTCTCCCCGGCCACCCTCCGGGGCCCCACCCTCGGGGACCCTCCCGGGCTGCACTCCCGGGCCACCCTCCCTGGCCCACCCTCTCGGGCCACCCTCCCAGGCCCCACGCTCGGGGACCGACCCTCCCGAGCCACCCCTCCCAGGCCCCACCCTGCCGGGCCACCCTCCTCCCAGGCCCACCCTCCCGGGCCACCCTCCCAGGCCCCACCTTCGGGACCCTCCCGGGCCACCCTCCCGGGCCACCCTCCCGGGCCCACCCTCCCGGGCACACCCTCCCGGGCCACCCTCCCGGGCACTCCTCCCGGGCCACCCTCCCGGGCCACCCTCCCGGGCCACGCTCCTGGACGCCACCCTCCCGGGCCACCCTCCCGGGCCCCACCCTCGGGGACTCTCACGGGCCACCCTCCCGGGCCTGCCACCCTCCCGGGCCCACCCTCCCGGGCCACCCTCCCGGGCACACCCTCTCGGGGCACACCCTCGGGGACCCTCCCGTGCCACCCCCCCGGGCCACCCTGCCGGGCGACCTTCCCGGGCCACCCCCCCGGGGCCACCCTCCCGGGCCCACCCTCCGTGGCCACCCTCCCGGGCACACCCTCCCGGGCAACCGTCCTGGGCTCCACCCTCGGGGATCCCCCCGGGCCACTCTCCCGGGCCACCCTCGGGCTCACCCTCCCGGGCCACCCTCCCGGGCCCACCCTCGGAGACCAGGCCACCCTCCCGGGCCACGTACCTCCTGGGCCACCCTCCCGGGCCCACCCTCCCAGGCCACCCTCCCGGGCCACCCTCCCGGGCCACCCTCGTGGGCCCACCCTGGCGGGCCGAGACATCGTCATCGTCGCAACTTTGGGGCCCGAGATGCCGCGCGCGAGGTGGTCCAGCCAGTTACGCTGGAGACATCCTCGCAACTCTGGGCTCCGAGACGCCTTTCGGGATGAAGAGGAGGTGGACGAGGAGGAGGAGGAGGAGGAGGAGGAGGAGGAGGAGGAGGAGGAGGAGGAGGAGGGGAGAGGGGGGAGGAGGACAAGCTAGGTGCGCTCGCGTCATATCTGACGTCCTACCCCTCCCTCCCATCCCTTACCATGGCGCTGATTTTCTCTATCCGCGGACGCGTGTCGTAGCGGACCTGTGGCTCCGCGCGCGCGTGCGTAGTGGGTGGTGGTGCGCGTGCGTGCGCGCGTGCGTGTGTGCGTGTGTGGTTGTGGTGGTTGTGGTGGTGGTGGTGGTGGTGGTGGTGGTGGTGGTGGTGGTGGTGGTGGTGGTGGTGGTGGGTGGTGGGTGGTGGGTGGTGGTGGTGGTGGTGGTGGCGGTGGTGGTGGTAGGTGGTAGGTGGTAGGTGGTAGGTGGTAGGTGGTAGGTGGTAGGTGGTAGGTGGTAGGTGGTAGGTGGTAGGTGGTGGTGGTGCGGCGCGGTGGTGGCGGGCGGATGGGCGCGCGAGAAAGAGGCCCGCGCTGGGGCGAGAAAGCCATCCTCAACGACGGAGGCCAAACACCGATCCGAAAATGAGGCCCACGCTGCAGCGGGAGCACGATTCGGAACGATTCGGGAGCAGAAATGAGGCCGGCGCCTCAACGAGAGCAGCATTTTGGAAAAAAATGACGCCGGCGCCTCAGCGAGAGTCGTTTCCCGGGATTTCCCGGGCATCCTGTGTGTAAAAAACAATACGCGGAGGGTGCGCGGCCATCACCCGGACGCCATCAGGGGAAGGATTCGGGAGCAGAAATGAAGCCGGCGCCTCAACGAGAGCAGCATTTTGGGAAACAATGACGCCGGCGCCTCAGCGAGAATCGTTTCCCGGGATTTCCCGGGCATCCTGTCTGTAAAAAAAAAAAAAATCGCGGAGGGTGCGCGGACATCGCCCGGACGCCATCAGGGGAAGAAAATGGCGCCGGCGCCTCAGCGAGAGTCGCTCCCTGGGATTTCCCGGGCATCCTGTGTGTAAAAAAACAATACGCGGAGGGTGCGCGGCCATCGCCCGGGCGCCATCAGGGGAAGAGGGGGAGTATATTCATATTGAATAATTGTGGAGGAGGAGGCATGTTTTAACATGCCATGCCAGCCCGCACTGGACGGGCACGCGATCGACCTTGGAAACCGCAGTGGGTCTAAAAACCCTGTTTGGGGATACTGCACTCCGGCTATAATTTCATGATTTGTTTTGCTGGCGTTGTTATTTGTTCTGCCCGCGCCCAGGCCGCTGGCGGCGGAGCTGAGGACGGTGTTCGGCTTCCCTGGGCTGGAGTTCAGGGTCGCCAAGCACGGTCGCCTGAACGAGTGCGACCGCGTGTCCGTGGGCGACGCCGCGGTGCTGCGGGACGCGGGGGGCGGCTACGTGATGGGCATGGTGCGGCAGCTGGTCGCCATCACGTGCCCCCCGCGGATGCCGCAGCCGTTCCACGCGGCGCTGGTGGAGCGGTGGGCGCGCCGCGGCGCTGGCAGCAGCCACGGCGCGAGCGTCTGGACGACTGCTGGCGCCACGCTGCAGTGGGTGGCGTTCGACGAGGTCATGCGGGCGTCGCCCGCGCGGTCCCTCAGTGGAGGCCGTGCGACTGCGTTCAACCCGCCTGGCTATAGCTAGCGAGTGAAAAAAATGAGTCTGCTTGCGCGCGGCGGATGCAGCCGCGCCCAACAACTCGAGCTGCAGCTCCATGCTGCGAGGGGCTGCAGCTGCAGCGGCGGCCCCTCCTCCTCCTTATGCGCATCCCGTCCCCTCCTCCTCGCCCCGTCCTCCCTCCATCATCGCGATGGCGTTGATATCGTTCAACATACGCTAACGTACTTTGAGTTGTTTTAACTTACTTTAACATAATTCAGCTAACCACTTAAGTTGAGCCAGCTTTAGCGAGCTTTCCTTAACATGGTTTAACATAGTTTAACACGGTTTAACATGACTTATATAGTTTTACATACACCTACATAACACCTTAGCTGTCGTTCGCTTCCCTACCCCCCAGCTAAGTGAGGTTAAGCCTTAGCTAAATCAAGCTAAACAAACTTAAACCATCTTAAAGCTTAGCTAAACCAACTTAAACCATGTTAAGTCTTATAACCCTTAGCTAAAACAAGATGCATCCAAACACCCTCCCGGGCCACCCTCCCGGGCCACCCCCCCGGGCCACCCTCCCCGGCCCACTCCCCGGGCCCCACCCTCCCGGGCCACCCTCCCCCACCCTCCCGGGCCCCACCCTCCCGGGCCACCCTCCCGGGCCCACCCTCCCGGGCCACCCTCCCGGGCCACCCTCCCGGGCCACCCTCCCGCCACCCTCCCGGGCTACCCTCCCGGGCCACCCTCCCGGGCCAACCCTCCCAGGCTCACCCTCCCGGACCACCCTCCCGGGCCCACCCTCCCGGGCCACCCTCCCGGGCCACCGTCCCGGGCCACGCTCCTAGGCGCCACCCTCCGGGGCCACCCTCCCGGGCCCCACCCTCGGGGACCCTCCCGGGCCACCCTCCCGGGCCTACCTTCCCGGGCCACCTTCCCGGGCCACCTTCCCGGGCCACCTTCCCGGGCCCACCCTGCCGGGCCACCC